AGACCCAATCATGGTCACTGAAAGTACCAAGAAATCTGGCTAAAATCAACATTAATAGCAGAATGCAAGTATGTTATCAAATTAGCTGAAACGAAGGGCATGAGGGAGTAATATCCTTTTGCCAGGGAAATAATGGTGGATAAGGCAAGTCTATTGCACATGTCAGGCCATGTGGGTCCCCAGGAGCAATGGGGCAGCCCTTGGCACCCAGAAGTGGCCTGGCAGAGTGGAAGAAACTTCAGTTTTGGAATCCAATAGCCTCTTTTAAAATTCTGGTTTTCTCCTATTGTAGGAGGACGAGGGCTAGTATTTTGACAATATGTTTTTTGGTTTTTTTTTTAACCTTTCTAAATATATGATTCTAATCCATCCTAGGCATCCATCAGCTCTGGAGACATTAGGATTTCTGTCAAAGGAATTCTAAGAGAGAAAAAGCAATTCAATATTCAGTTTTTGATATTCAAAATAGCATTTTCAACAAGACAGAAACCTTGTAACCTAAGCGATCACCTTAGAATTTTTCTACTTTTTTCTCTCTCAATTTTCACTCATCAGGGACCCTGCCCGGAGGACTCAGCTAACAGCGTCCAGATAGTCCTTCTGCTGATGGGCCAAGGCCAGGAATCTTGCTGCTCTGTAGCTGATGGACTATTTGACAGGGAAAATCCACCTCTTCTGTTCAGGGGACTTGGAGATAAAGGAGAAGAGAGAAGAGGAATGAGGGATTCGTGCTGTTTCTAGGAGTCTTATGCAGTGCTTAGCTTGGGGATCTCCAGAATTTGGAGGGAGGCAGGTCTACCTGCAAACTACCCCTAGGGCCCACATCCCCAGGTTACTTTGGAAGGAAGCATAACTGAGAGGCAGGACCTATATTGGCTTTCCAAAGCCTCCTGCCCTGTAGATTCCAGAACTCCCAGCCACCAGAGGCATGAGGTCACAGCAGCCGCCTCCCCTGCCCCCTCCCCACTGACGCAGGGAGAAGAGCAAGGGAGAGGGAGGTTCTCTGAGAAACTGAGCTCTTCTATGCAAAAGAGACTGAGAATTCTCTAAAGGGACTGTTTGGATTATTACATCAGACTAGGTTATAATCCAGAATGGACTAAATTATAGCTGCTGTTTTTCCACCACCCAGGAGCTTGTAAGGAAGGCCATGGCAATTAGAAAGCAAGGCAGTTGCTCTAGTGCATTCTAGGGGTAGTTTGGGGGGGCAGTTTAAGGACCCCACTGTGTGTGCTTGCACAAGTGGGTGTGCCTATGTAAGTCTAAGACTTGGCTTCTTTATGTTAGATGAGGATAAATAATAATCTCCTTCTCCATGGTCTCCTTGTGTATTTAAGCAATAAGCAGCATACACATCCCTGGGTCAATTCAGAACTTGGCAGACTATATATATTTCCTTGCTGGTGCTGGAGAATGGGACTGAGAAGCAATGAGAAAGAACAGTGCAGTGCAGAGGTTGCTCAGCCCAGGGCCAATGCCCACTAGCTCCTTCATACCATCTCCTTCTCCGCAGAAGAGCTGAATAGACACCCATCCAGGCTGCAGAAGATGGCCAGAGGTGGGCCTTTGAGTCTGATTTCTTTGCAAGTGCACATGACAGAGAAGAGCTGTGCATGGGACACCATGCAGCTACATAGCCCACAGGCCTGCTCCCATCTTTTCAAAGACCACCTTAGACAGCTACCCTCTCTCCACATGCATTACGAGAGCCCCTGGGGTTTGCTGGCCCCATTCAGCACCCAGAAAACCAGCGCAAGCTATGCTTTGCAAGAACTGATTGGAGGCTGAGTTAGAGTGTTGGTTCCCCAGTCCCCATTCAGCCTCTGTGCCCTGGTAAGACTATATTATTTTCTTAGCTCAAGTTGCTGTTTCCAAGACATTATTTCTCTACGACGAGAAAACAATATTAGGTCTTATGTAATATCAACCTCAATGAATCTGGAAGCGATCATGGAATGGGTGGATTTTTTTCTCTCCTCAAAAAAAAAAAGGAGAAAAATAAATTTGAGATTGTTTGCATATGGCTGAAAATATTTATGAACTATTCCCCTTGTTTCCTCATCACATATTTTACCCAGTGCATTTGTGTGTGGTACAGAATAAATCTTTATGAGGAGCAGAGGCAGAGAAGGGAAGAAAACAGTAAAAGGACAGGGTATCCATCAAGTGCCTGGGTGTTTGTTAGTGATCCTCAGTCTCTGGGTACCTCAGCTCCAGACTCACTTGCTGAGGTCACCCCATCCAGCTACTCTGAGGAAATCCTTTGGAGCAGGGGTTTCAAATATAAACACAGAAGGAATGAACATCTCAGGTCACCCTGTTTTATTTCACAGGCCCCCTCCCTCTTTCCAGAACATGAATGGTTTCATGAACTAGGTGCCATTAGCCAAAAGAGATCATTTGATTCTGTGATCCCAGATTGTGCCACCATCAGAGCTTGGAGTTGGCAGGTAGGAGAAAAAAGAGTTGACAGAGAATGGATGGGTGCTGCCATTTGTTATTTGGTAACTTGGGAGTGCTTTAGCACACAGGTGTGTTGCCTCAGTCTCCCTCTAACTGTGCCTGTCATAAGGCTCGTCACCAAGGAGGATCCCCAGAAAGCATGAGGGACAGAGCTATGGCTGTGCATTAAATAAGTAAGGAAAACAAAGCTCCAGGCTATTGATTTTCCCCTCTAGGGACTGACCTCTGAATTGAGGCTTCTTAGACTATCTCATTATCTACTGCACATTGAAATTTTTAGGAATATACTTACTAAGAGTATGGGGTGATTGACAGGAAACAGAATGATCACTATATTTGGTGATGCGAAGCAATAACTCCCGTTGACTCATTTCCTTAGTATGCACTGGGCACTGTATCAGGCACTGTCCCTGCATTTGCTGAGTTAATCCTTACAGTGGCCACACAGGAAGGTTAGGTATCTTTAGTTTCATTATTGCCATGAGAAAACTGAAGCTCAGGAAAGTGGAGGAATTTCCCAAGTTCATACCTAGTTGCAGGACCAGGCACCTAGGCAGGATTTGTAGAATCTAAGGTCAAAACAATATGTACAGATAAGAAAAATTTATAAATCAGACCCAAGACCTTGCAAGACACCTATGCAATCATAAGGGATCTTGATACTTAAGCATCTGCAACTACTGCTTATTGAATTTTGTTCAGAACTGGCCTTTCAAGGATCTTCAATCAGTGCTCTAGTCTTCTTTACCAATTTTTATGATTGTTCCCAGGCCAGTGACTTGGGTACAGACTTGAGCTGTAGCCTGCTCAGGTCTCCAAGGGGCACCTGGAATTACAACTTACAATGTCATATTTCCCTTCCTGTATCTCGTCACCTCTTGGATGATGTCAGTGGGTCAAATTTTGACAGGCACCCTGTTTAGTTTTTCTTTTTGTCCATTATAACCAAGATTTTGCAATAGTCTGTATAACTGAAAGGGGTAGAGGGATTTGAGGAAGCAAACAAATCAAGTACAAATCACAAGTGCTTCGGGGAGAAAAGCATAATGAGATGGTCTAGGACCCACCCTCCCTCCGCCGTTGCCCTTGAACAGTCTGGTAATCCCATCACAGTCTAGACAGTTGCTAAGGGGAATACAAGCATTTTTCCCAGCCCTGCTCATTCTGTTCTCCCAAACTGGAAACACAAAGCAGACGATGAAGCCCAAGTTCAAATGCCATACCAGGGAGGAGGAAGTATTGAGAAACTAACATCCAACCTCCAGCCGGTCTGCACACATTCCAGTAAGCACTCAATTGATTTTTCTTGGGCTAGTGTCATTCCATTGTCTCAAACAAAAAGCCTTCTGTGAAAAGACAAAAGCAGGCTGTGGAGGAGTGGCTACAGAAGGCACATCTGGGAAAATCAGAACAAGAGGACCGTCCCCTCAGCTTCTCCTCCTGCAGACAACATCCCCCTCATATCTGCTGGAAGGAGCATCAGGCCTGACTCCCATTATCTCCGTGGCAGGCTCTAAACCAAAGTCTGGAAAAACAGCCCTTGGGAATGGGGCTGAAGACACAGGTGCAGTGGCTAATGACCCGACCAGCCATTCCCTCCAAGGCCACCCTCTGTGCTCAGGTGGAATGTGTTTGTCAGTGCTCAAAGATTGGACTGTGAGATTCTGGGTGGAAGGACTTTGGTTGAAAAGTGACTTCCCACTGTTGTTCTTTTGCTCAGCTTATGTGTCTTAAATGAGTGACCTGGTACATAATCATTGAAACAAGTCAGTGAAATCCTTCTGCCACATCATCTTCCTTCTGATGTTTGTTCTTTGAGAGGTATCTCTGACAGGTGTTCAGGCAACTGGTGGACATTTCTAGTGGACACTGCTGCCTGGTAAGCTGGCTCTGCCATACAGGACAGCTCTGTATTGTAGACAACCTGCCCTAGATTACACCAGGGTGTGTCCTTGGTCCCCATTGCTCTCTGAGAGCAGTGCCACTCAGGGCTGCTCTCATTCCTATGCATGACACCCAGAGGTCTCAAAGATTAACCCAGAGTTAATGCTTCCACAAAATCTGGTTGCATCTCTATCCACAGAATTCTAAAGTTTTTTTGTTTACTTACTTAATAGCCCTTTCGTACTACAAAATTAATGTGTGGATTTATTGTAGAATATTGACAATATATAGGCAAGCAAAAGAAGAAAATAAAAGTTGACTAGGATTATTGAACTTCCAGAGATAAGCCCTGTAAAAACTTTGGCATTTATCCTAACTGCTTTGTTTCTCCTTTTATATATGTTTTCAAAAAAAAAGGCAGTGGGCGAGGTTTTCTAATGTTCATCATTTGGTTAGGGTTTGCTTTTGGGGGCCATTTAATACACTTGTCCTGCATCACGTTTATGGCGACCAGGTATTCTGCAGAGTGTGGTGAGCTGGCAGAATGAGGAGGGAGACCAGTTGGGATGAGCTACTCTATTCTGAAGATCCTTTGACTGTATCTAGTGACAAGAGAGTTGACTAAAGATCCTTCTTTTGCTCTTCTTTGCCAGCCCTTGAGAGAGGCCTGACCAAGGCACTGAAGAAACTGGATGACTACCTGAATACCCCGCTGCCAGAGGAGATCGACACCAACACCCGTGGGGACAATGACAAGGGGTCTCGGCGCAAGTTCCTGGATGGGGATGAGCTGACCCTGGCCGACTGCAATCTGTTGCCCAAGCTCCATGTGGTCAAGGTAAGGGAGGTCTATGCATGGGTGCTGGTGAAATCAACTGCATCTTAGACCCAGGTCACCTGTGTGGATGTCAAGATCCTGGGCTCTGAAGACAGGTGAATAGGGACCCAATGTCAGCCTCTGCTGCCTGTATAGCTTTTCTGAGCTTCCATTTTCATTTATAAAATAGGTATATACTGCTTACCCTAGGGTTCTTGGGAGAGTAATTATGGTGTGAAAGTGTCTAACATATTGTAAGGACTCAATATATAACAAATGCAATATCTTTATTGTAGATAATCATATCACTCCAAAGCCCTCTTCCTGGAGTTATTGCTGACCACACCCCAGCATCTCCCTTATGAGCCCTTGTGTGTCTTCATACATTTCTTTGTGTACAGATCTTGTAGCAGATCCCTGGGGTAGAAAAGCATCCTCTTCCTTGTCTATTAGCTGAAGAGATGGAGACAGCAGGGGCACTTCCTGGCTCTCATTGCCCTTACCATATGCAGCCTGTGTGGTGTAATCCTTTCCTAGACAACAAATCTTGGAACCTGAGATTCAGAGGCCACCTAAAATAATCTCCAAACCCAAACTGGTCTGCTTTCTGCTGAACTTGTGACAGGCTTCTGGGAAGCTGTGATGGCATATTTCTGGGTGGTAAGGAACCCTCTGCCTGGTGAGCGGTGTTTACCATTTTGAAAAGCTCGGATTATTACAATACCCCTCCTTATATGGAGCCCAGGCATATCCCCTGTATCTCATTTGTTCTCTGGAACAACACAAAACCAATCTGCTGTACATCCCACTTAAAAAAAAGGAAATATATCCCCTAAAGTTCTCTAAACTAACACTTCTTCCCACATCCTTTTCTAACCCTCATTGCTTGCAAAAAAAAAAAAAAAATGGTGTCTTACCATCTTGCTGTTTCCTATTCTTACACATGTCTATATCTTATTATCTCAGCCAGACAATGAGGGCCTTCTTCAAGCATGTTGATAGAAAGTAATAAATACTCATTATTTGATTGATCATTTGATCGCCACATGAGTAACCTTATGGTAGCCAGCTTCTTTCTACCCTGCACTAAGAAGATTCAGATTCCATCATTCCTCCTCAAGGTACATTATGCCTATTGCTTTTCAGCTGAAGACCTGAGCTAGTAATACAGGCTTTCCTCCAATCAGGCACCCCAAGCTTGCATTGCTATCACCTAGCTGTGCATGCACCAGTTTTCCCACGGGATCTTGGTCAGAGCTGGAAACCAGAAGGGAATCACGTGCCTATGGGTTGGGAAAATCCAATTTATTAATAGGAAGACGCTGGGCTCATGGCCAAGCCAATAGTCACTTGGAGGTTGTGTCAGTTAGCTTTGCATCACCATGACCAAAAAACCTAACAAGAACAACTTAAGAGAAGGGAAAGTTTATTTTGGCTCATAGTTTCAGAGGTTTAGTCCATTTCTCTGGGCCCATCATGAGCCCGAGCATCAGGGCAGAAGCACATGACAGAGGAGCACTGTTTCATTCATGGCAGTCAGGAAGCAGAGAGGGGAAAGGGAAGGGGCCACAGACAAGATGAACCCTTCAAGGACACACCCTCAGTGACCCACGTCCTCCAGCCACACCCGCCTGCCTATAGTTAGCATCCAGTTAGTCCTTTCAAACCAGGATGGACTGATTAGGTCACAGCTCTCATAATCCAATCATTGCACCTCTGAACATTCCTGAATTAACACAGGACCTTCTAGAGGATGCCTCATGTCCAGACCATAACAATGGTTTGCAAAGCTGTGTCACTTTGAAGTCATCACCTCCTGAATGCTCCACCCACCAAAGAATACTTATTCACCTTTTCCTGAGGAATAAGGAGCACTGTTAGGGACATTATGATCCCTGTTCAGTCACACTGTGGCAGAGCCACATAATGGAAAGATCAGGAAATCCAAGTTCTAGTCATATCTCCACCAACTGCAGCACGGGCTAGAGCAAACCATTCCATCTTTTTGGAATTCATCTTTCTTATGCCTAAAAGAAGGGGCATGGACTAGATTCCTTCCTGTTTCCTTTTTTGCTTGTCTCCTCTCTTATTCCAACATGTATCCGTCCTTCAGTGATGAATCATTTGTTGAATAAGGCAAACAAACAGCTCTCCCTGGCCACGTGCACCACCCCCTGATGTCTCCAACTCCTTGCAGCCCTCAGTTGACTCAGTGAATCGCCTGTCCTTGGGGGAAGTTCACTGGGTTGTTCTCAGAGGAGCCGGAGATCAGACGGAGGACGGCCTGCGAGGGAACAAAGGCTGGGCCTCCGCTCCTGTCTCCTTGGATTTCTGCTGATCCAGCTTATCAGATCCAGGGCCTGGCAAACCTCTGCAGAGCAGAAGGAGCCAGGAGGGAGCCAAGTCAGGCCTCCAGTTTGGCCTCAGATGCCAGAACTCACTCTGGGCTGTGGGAGCTAACCATTTTCATATGAAAGAGCAAATTTGAAACATGAGCACGAGGATTGCTGAGAACGTCAGAGCTGCGCGTGCATCCTCGCCCGCTGGCTCTGTGGAGCTCACTCTCAGCTTCTTGTCCATCCATGGACGCTGAGGTGTCCTGGTCCAGGCACTCACCAACAGCCAGGTTTGGAGAAAGAGATGGATAATGTGGCGATTTTGAGGGGTCCTAAATGATTTTTAGGGAGATGAGTGGACCCAGAGACAGAAATTAGTTTGTGAAATAATTCTCTTTGGAATTTGAAGGAGCCCACCTTCCAAATGTGGTTACAGTCATGTTTTTCTTTTCTGAGATAGATTTTAGATTTCAGGGGCAGGGGGCAGGGGCAACTGCCTTCCTTTGGGGGGACTCTCATCTTCATGCAGATAAGGGAGTTCCAGAAAGAGCTTCTTTCTGTAATTGAGGGGGAGAAGCAAGACAAAGTAGAGGACTTTGAACCTGAGGCAGCTCCTTAGGGCTCTCAGCAAGTCAAGGCCCCAGGGAAATTGTTCTCTGAGCAGCAATATTAGATTCATAATTAAGAACCCTGAGTTGGCCCATGTCTTAACATAGGTCTAAACATTAAAGTGGCAAGAACTACAGACAAGAGAGAGGCCCTGTGATAAATAGTCATGATTACTCAATAGATACCGGTGTCATGCATGTCCTGTGCAACATAGTCTAAGTCACTTCATTTATCTTGGTTTCGCTTTTCTCTTGTAAAGAAGCTTCAGTCTTTAAAATGACATGATTTTGGAGACTGGGGATGTGGCTCAGTGGTAGAGCCCCTGCCGAACCTGTGACACCCTGGGTTCAATCCCCTGTACTTCAAAACAAACAAACTAGCAATATTAAGAGATTTGTAAAGAAACTAAATTAAAAGATACACTTTGTCTGATGTTCGCAAACCTGAAGTTAGTAAAGATTAAATACGACTCTTTATTGAATCCCTCCTCACCTAACCTTTCTGTGCCTTACTCTTCTTCTCTGTAAAACTGGAACATAATAAGCTCTTTCTTATGAAGTAATTTAGGGATAAATAAAGTAACAGTTCTTGAAGTGCTTAAAGCAGCACCAGAAGCAGAGCACAGGGTGAATGGGTGCTTGCTGCTGTTCATACCGGGGTTAGCATCATGATTGAGATTTTGGAGGGGTCCACAAATAAAGCAGCTGTGATTCCTGTCCTTGTACTCCTCACAAGCTGGGGAAGAGAAAAAAGGACACTAAGACAGTAGTTGGATTCAGGATAGAAGAGAGCTTAGTATTGCAATGGAATTTCCAAACTGGAGCATGTAAGGGGAACGAATGCATCCGCGTGGGAACATGGCACTCTGGCCACAGGCCCTTGTCATCCTCCCCTCGGCACAGCTTCCCAGTGGGGTCTGCACTGGGAAGATGAAAACACAGCATGGCTGCCCTGGAGGTTCTCTGAGCAGGAGGATCCCAGGGCCAGTGGCTTGGTGCCCTCACCAAAGAGAATCAGAAATCAGAGCCTCGAGAGTGATGCTACTCTCTGTAACCGCTACCTAACTCTCAGGGGCTAGAGGCAGAACCAGCTCATGTGTAGGCCCCCGTGCACAGTGAAGACCAGAGCCCTTTGTTGAAAAATGACCATGAACGTTCACATTTTGATGGCAGAGGATTAAATCAAGGGCAAGGCCCTTCTGAGTGTAAAGACCAGTGATGCACAAGTTACTTATCCAAAGCTGCCCTGGCTAGAGGAATATTCAAGAGACCACCCTGCTACCACTCACAGAGGAAATGCATGCAAATGGATGGAAGGTAGGCCTCAATGAATTGTAGGCGATAATGTTTATTGAGTACTTACTATGTCCCAGGCACTCCTCTAAGCATTCTATGTGTATTAAGTAACTTACTATTATAACACATGTCCTATTATTACCTCCATTTTAGAGATTAAAAACAACAACAACAACATAGTGCTCAGAGAGGCTAAGTAACATGTCCAAGGTCACACGGCTGATAAGTGGAGTCAGGATTATAAATCCACTCCACTGAAATCCAGAGCCCAAGCTTTGAAACACTATGCTACTGTTTAGTGTCAACACAAACATCACTTCCCCAAAACTCTTTTAGTTCATGTCCCCTGAGTGTGGCAAACCAGGTAGAGAACAGACATCACTATTTTCTCACTCCCACATCATAACCTGAACCTACATATATATTACAACATCTAACTTACTTTTTCTGTTTTTTTTTTTTTTTTTTCGTCTTCGATGAATAATAATAGTTATGTACAAAAAGTGGACCAGGGAAAGATAAAATGAAAAAATGTCTCTAATTCTATCAATCAGACATAACCACTGTTGATATATTGGTATATACAAGTTTCTCCAAATGCTACACATTAAATGTAACAGTCTACTTGAAATGTTTTGCACATCACTGGATTCCTCTCAGCAGCAGCATTTTTAAAGACTCTCTGGTATCCCATAGTATTTATATACAGAAAGTATTTACCCAATTTATGGATTGTTGGACATTGGAGTTTATGTACTATTTTTTGCTATTCAGAATAGTCTTATGATCATAATTATGTGACTAAATCTCTATGTATATCCACAATTATTTCCTAAGGGAAAAAAAATTCTTAGAAGTGGAACCACTAGGTCAGAGGGAAAATGACACTTAAGAAACAGAAAATAAATACAGAGGCAGCGCTGCCCGCTTGCATTGCAAACGTTCTACTTCTGGTGCAAAGCGGTGCACCAAGGTGGTTTGTTCCCTGCACTCACATCGCCTCCCTCCTGTCATCTCTTTAGATTGTGGCCAAGAAATACCGCAACTACGAGTTCCCGGCGGAGATGACAGGCCTGTGGCGGTACCTTAAGAACGCCTATGCCCGGGATGAGTTCACCAACACCTGTGCAGCGGACAGCGAGATCGAGCTGGCTTATGCCGATGTCGCCAAGCGCCTCAGCCGGTCCTGAGCCCTGCCCATGCCCATCCTGATGCACAGGGCTCTACTTCTCCCCAAGAACTCCACTTTACAGACTCCTCTAATGCAATGCCTCCGCAAACTTTTTTTTTTTTTTTTTTTTTAATCAGGCCACATCTTGCTGGCATCACCAGAACTCCAGCCTGTGATCATCTTTTAAGGTCAGCGCCATCCCCTGCCTATCACGCAGGAATCTGGCAAGCACAGAGGATAGAAACTGACCACCTCTCTGCCGGCCGACCTGATCTGGGATGGGTGTATCTGGTCAGTTTGGACTGACCTGCCGAACGGTGACTAGTTCCATCTGCCAATATCAAAATATCACTCAGATGCTTTAGAAACGCACCCCACCTCTTCGTTCCTCTTCTTTGTCAGTAACTGTGAGGCCAAGGACAAATGCCCTTTGAGTTCCTATTAGAGAGAGATCCATGCCTTGGTAGAGGAAATGCAGGGAATGGGGGAGAAGGGAGTTGGCGGTGGATTGGGACATCTGGCAAACACACCACCAGTGGCTCACTGCTTCTGACACTGCTGTCCTTGGGCACTGAAGGCCAGATTGCAAAGTCACTTCAGACACATTCTCAACTCACTGCAGTGCTGTTGTGTGCCTGGCTGGTGCTGACCATGGGTTTTCCGTGTTGTCCGGCAATTTTCCAGGAAGAAAATTGGCATGCAATTCCAAACCAGGGTGCCTGGGATGGGGAGGCGAGACAGAGTAGTGTTGATGCCAAAAAGCCCACAGGGTCTAACCAGCCATGGGGTGTGCTAGCTTAGGAGTGGGTGTTTCATGGGCAATTTCATGCCTGGGTTTGCCTGTGCTTATCAGTGAGTGGCTTGTGGTTTGTGACAAAGCAGATGGGAGGGGGGAGGGGAGAGGGGTGAAGGCAAAGGAGTTTGGTATGAGGCTTGATGTTCCCTGGTAAACTTGGTCTTTTCTCCCTTGATCTAAATCTTGGACTGGAATATCATGTAACTCCCAACCTTATGGGAAGAAACCAGGAATTGGCCAAAAATATCTTTCCAGGTTTTTCCAAGTTGTACCTGGATGCAGGTGGGCTGAATGGGTGCCCTCAGGTGGCTGCTCGGGGCCAATTCGACTGAGGCCTCTGCTGGATGAGAACGACAACTTCAGGAAGTGGCATGATGGTGGACCACCTTAGGGAGAACATCCACACTGGGAAGACCATGTGGTTTAAACTTGAAGAAAAAAAAATGCACCCATCTGGGTTAACCTTGCTACCATCCACCAGACTCAGCTGCCAGATGAAATAAAGGCAACCATGTTCCAGCTACTTTTTCCCTCCTTACTCATTGTTTCCTCAAGTTTCGCCTCCTTAAGAGCTTACCCTGCCTGAGCATGGAGACCTGTGCGGAGAAAACGAAGAAAAATGAACCAATCATCAACTCCCTGGCCCACTGAATGCCCCAGGAGGAAATCCATCAGCCTCTGGCCCTCACCTTCCACAGTCCTTCCTTCCTCTCGCTTTTTGGTGGAGGGCGAGGCTCCCAAGTGCCGGAAAGCCCCTGGACTTGGCTCATTTCTCAGCAAGGGCAGGATAGCACGGTCCTTTCCATGGAAACATCAACAAATCCTAACCCAAGCAATCACTGGACCCGCCTGCCTCCAGGGAGCTCCAAAGAAAAAATAGGGCCCATTGATGAAACCAGGGGAGGAAGCAAGAGAGCTCTCCCCATTAGCCAACTGAGGAAGACCAGGTTTCTCAGGAGGACAATTTACAAGCCTGAGAGAGCTTTGAAAAGGCAGAATGAGTTGATTCATTTCCACCCTAAAGGAACCTTTCCACAGTCTCTCTGGAAACTGCCCCTGGAGATGTTTAAAATGGAGAACTGGTGAGGAAACACCCCCTTTTACTGTGAGGAGAGGCCCCAAACTGGACTTCTAAGGGCTGAGAGCTTGAATGATCCAGGTCTTATAGTTAGTGTGAAATCGAGCTGTTTCTTGGGAAGTTTTTCCTGATCTTACAGCATGGCCAGAAGAAAGGGGGTGGTTCACTCTCCTGTGCCCTCCTCTGCAAAGTCACCTGCAAAGTCACCCAGAGGGACCCCAGGGGGAGCAGCTGCCCAGCCCAGGGGAGTCCACAGAATGCTAAGGAGGCTGATGTGATATCAGAATCCAGCAATTGTCAAGTTTTTAAAAACAAACAGGCCAAACCAAGTCAATATTGTTCTTTCTAGATGTTCCTCCTATGCTTGAGTTGGTTTTACATAAATGGCAATATTTAGGCCCTGTGGGGGTATTTTGTGACAAATTATAACCATTTTAAAGAGGGGTAGGAGTTAGAGAAGGAAAGCTCTTTTGGGTACTTAATTCAAAAACACCTTTTTATTTCAGCAGTAGATCATCATATAATGCAACTGGCTATTGGCTTAGAGTTACATATGTAAAAATAACAATAATATTAATAGTACTACTTTCTAATTACTTTTTTTTCCCCAAAAGATATTTTTTCTTCAGTTTCTCCAGACTCTCTGGGCTTTGCCTTAACCTTGTCACATGCACAGTGCACCCTCTCTTAGCTATGGTGTGGTGAGGCCAGGAACCACCTTGGGGAGAACTGAAAACTTACATCTGGACTCGGTACTCCAGAGCTTTTGGGAAGGAGGTAGTCCTTGTGATTGGTCCTGAATGAATATCAGTCCTTCAGAATGCATTTCACTCATTCTGACACAGAAATAGGATTTACTTGTGTCGAGATCCTATTTCATTTTGTATTTATTTGTTTCTTTTGACTTTGACATCACAATTTTTTTGTGGAATAGGTTCATGGGAGGCAGAAGCAGAAAACTAGAGCCACACTCCAGTCACCCAATGACTCAATTATAGAGTTGAAATGACCAACCTCTTCAGGACTTCCTCTTAGATTGGTTAGCCCAGAAATAAGGGATTGGATAAGATTTTAATAACTATCTAAGATGAGCTGTGTAAGTAAAATCTTAATTGATCCAGAGCACAGTTCCTTCATCTCCTGACTAAGGAAGACAAGTCTCTGACAAATTCAGAGTCACAGACATGGATATGACTCTCCTTTTAGACAAGAGGTCTGGAAGCCACCTGGTACCACAGAAATGAGTTGAAATGTGGAAAACACAGTCAACCAGCTTTTGTGACCACAGGACCCCAAAGTAGTTTCATCTTCCCAGGAAATGGCACTGTCTCTCCTCCCGCTGACAGGGCCCTGGTAGGATCTTGATCTTCACATCAAAGAAAAGCCCTCCAGCCAGGTGGGTGGTACATGCCTTAGCTCTACCTGCCCAGGAGGCTGAGGCAGGAGGATTATGACTTCAAGGCCAGCCTGGGCAACATAGTGAGATCCTGTCTCAAAAATTTTTTGCAAAGACATACTGGAAGTGGTTTCCTGGGCTGTATTTCCTGGCACTTGTCAAATGAAGCAACAGAAGCTCTTCACAGCCCTGTGCCTGGTGGTGGCCACTCTGTGGATGACAGTACCCAAGGGTCTTAGAATGGAGAATATCTGGAACAGAGAGAGCTTGACCAGCTCAGAGGCCCAGGAATCAGCAAGGCCTAGATAAATAGAATGAATAAGGAGACAGGCAGGAAGGGCAGGTGTGTCTAGTAAGAATCTACCCTCACTGTGAGGATCTGCTCTAAAATTAAATGGATCTAGAAGCAACAGGTGTCCAGTAGGTGCCTCTGTGGTTCACCTGCATCCCCCCTGGCCAGGAGCCAGTTTAGCTGCACAGGGGATCAAGACACTGGTGTCGCCTTCCTTGGAAAGAAGAGATGCTCATGGCTAAAACTAAGTTCAGTGATTCTCAAGGTATCACTTTCCTGTTTGGTTTTTCTACCACATTAAGAAGAATCTGAAGAAAGCATTAGGAAAAATGGGTCCATGTGAAGCATCTGATTCTGACGTCAGGAGAACGTAAGTGATCTCGTCCTTGGCCTTGGGGCCCTCTGCACACAGCCCGGGGCCTTGTGTCCACCACTTTCTACCGCTCAAATAAGACGGCTTGTATCCTCCTCCTGCTACACATTCTTCTCCCCTGGTCAATCCTTGCTCAGCTTAGTTTCAGGGCAATTTTCTCTCCTAATTAGGTATGATCCAAACTGTGCATAATGATATTTAATGTGATTTAAGGAAATAGATTCAAATCCCCCATCCCACTACCAAAAGTAAATAAAATGTTGCCTAATATAAGGTTTGGACTAATCTATTTCTATAAAAGTAATCTAGGGTTTTTTGTTTTGTTGTTTCATTTTGTTGGCAAAACATAGTTTTAAGGATCCAATCATCTAAAGTATTTTACATATAGTTAGAGATTTCACAATATTAACTATGCATATATTTAAAATATAAAATATCCAGCTGATGTTTGAATTTGTCATATTTTCTGGCCACCCGATAGTTCTGTTTTATAAGCTGGGGAGTTGACTCATTTAGCAAAAGATGCTTAGCTTTTATAAAAGGACAAGCATTTCATTTTATAAAGACACTCCAAGTGATAGTTACTTGATTTTCTCAAGACCTTTAACTGTGGTGATAAAATAACAGGCCTTGCTTTCAAGCCTTAACAAATGTAAAATGCCTTTTAATAAAGACATAGCTGAGTGTTTTCCTCATGACTCTGAACCAGTTATAATTGTTTCCAGTCTTGATTGGTATTGACTGATTTAAATAAAGTTGGCTTATTTTCAAATATTATAAAAGTGATCATCAGACTCCTGATTTGAGGTGGGGATTTTCTATGTTGTTTTAAATCACAAGTATGAAATCTCTCTCTTCTTCAAATAAAGGTGACTTTATTTTTCCCAGTACAAAAAAAAAAAAAAAGATGTTCATCATAAAAAATCAAAAAATCAAAAACAAATAAAAATATATGGAGAATAAAAGGAAAAGCAAAGAACTTAGGAGCCAGTCATCCAAACACCATTTTTTAAGCAAGGCTAAAAATTTAGCACCTGGATTAGGTAAGACATGGTGGCAATATTCCTTCCTGCTTCTCATTTCCTATCTGTACCGTCACACGTGAGGTAGGCCAACAGTGACAATCCAGGTCT